TTCATGTTACACTGCTGAAGTTTTCTAGTAAAACACATTCACTATAAAAGTCACACGTTATTTAGCTAGGAAAACTCAACTCCTCATGAAACAATACAGGACTTCTACTGATGTATCAGAGGAATTAGTAAATACTAAACTAGCAATTGGTATTGACATTTCCATAGGAGATATACCAAAAATAAAGTTGAGTGAACATAACTTCGTAAATGAAGGATGAGGCTGGTTCAGCATTTGACAGTGACCGCACAGATGATAACTGACAACAGGTCCTGGGTCAGACTTTCACTTGTAGTCAAAGTGAAGGTTTCCCTTCCAGGAAAAAGAAAAATAGAGAGGAATTCTTGGCCAAGAGTTGCCCTGACTTTTCACTCGTAGTAACTTCTTGAAGTATGGCCCTAATGGCGAGTAAACAAAGAAACCCCCAGGAGACTATGGCAATGCAGACAGCCAGCCCTGAAAGACCGCCTACTGAATGTGCGACCTCATGCAGTGACTTACCCCGAGACTCAGTTTCCTCATCACACCCAACTTTCCCTTAAGTATGAATGAAACTGTACAGTCATCCTGTCACCCCAAAATCATTAGACAGGGATGGGATAAGGAATTTAGTTCAATTTATTTCAGAAAAACAACAGCTGTTTCCACACTGCCCTACTAAATAAAGATTCCATTATAATACCTTCCTAACTGATACATGTTGGGAATTTATAAGTCTCAGACTCATTCATCAAAAATTTTATTATGTGGGTAATATTAAATACTGAAAGGGCTCAACAACTACAAATGTAGTTTAAAGTCAAATAAAGCCCATGTTCCCATTCTAGAACATTTATAGGCAGTGTCACAGATACACACTACGGAATACAACAGGCTCACAGGGAGCCCGGCAGGCAGAGTGTTTAGGGAGAAACGGACTGGGGGGTGAAAGGAAGAGATGGCTTTGAGGGCAAAAGGGAAGGAAAAAAGAAAATAAACTTCCAGCAACTTCAAAGATAATCGGAGTTTAACAGATGGATTTAAGATTTATTTTAGCATTTTGTTCTGTACTCCATCTAGTCAATGAGAACTCTACACCTGGGTAAGTTTCGAGTGCTGCACCAAAAGCTGCAAAACAACTCAGCATTTCTTAGTATTATATTGCTACTAAGACTCCCATTCAACCGGAGCCATCCTTCCCTTCCCTTATACCAGAGTTTCTCAAAGTATGTCACTCCTACCTGCTTCACTAGCTAACATCTATATTCCTGGATCCTACTCCAGAAACGATGACCTGGAGTTATCTAGGATCGGGTAGGGACCTCCAGTTCCAGCTAGTACTCTAGGTAGGTGTTTTTCAAACTGTAACTCATATACTCAATTTAGTAGATGACAGTACTTTTTTGTTGAAAGGAATGGCTTGGAACAGATCCAATTTAAGAAGATTACACAGGATTAGAAAATATTAGCGGGCACTATGCTTTATGCTGTTTCAGGAAGCCTGTTCCAGTTCTTTATGTGGGATGGGATACAAACGGTATTTCTTACCAGATGTCTCGGTCAACCGTACTTGAACCATTTTTACTTTCATTTGTCCTTCTAAAAGTTACCTTTTTAAAAACTTAATTATTCCCTTTACAAAACACAACTTTGCACATTTAGGATCTCATTTATTCCATTCCCAAAGTTTCTTTTGTATTCCCTGAACTTTTCACCTGAGGGCCATGCTTACCTATTGGTTTAATTATCTCACGAACATTTTACAGTATTTTAAGTTTTTTTAAGATTTCAGAAATACAACTTGTTATTTTTCACCTTGTTTTTTAAACAGCTGTCGCACTATTCGATGTTACTTCACCACTAACATCCCTGAACTGACTCGTATAATTTAACTCTATATTCTGGTAGGTACATCAATGCTTCATGGTATTTAATCCTTGAAGTTTTTCATTCCCTCATTCTCTCTTCTATTAACATAATTTTAGACGGTGTTCTTTATTGCCTTGCTTTCTTTTGACATTCCCTTATATAACTGGCACTTAATTCCGACCATATCTTTTTCTTTGAAAAAAAATCCCCATTACCACATGAGGATTTTCTGGCTGTATGCCTGCAATTTTAAAATGAGGTACAGTGTGCGGGTATTTCAAGGAACTGTGATTGCCTTCTACAGGATAATGTGAATATTGAGTAAAACCGTACCGAAAACTTTCCTCAGGTGTGACTTAAAATATAGAAATATCTGCAGTTCGACACAGTATGTGATGACTGCCCTCGAGGTAGTACAAACCAACTGACTGAATAATGGTCTCAAGATCTTCAAGCCGGAAGAAGCTCTAGTCAGTCTTAGCCTTGGTCCTTACCACCTCCAGTGCAGCATTTCTCCACGGGTAGCCTAAGGACCCCCATCCGACTGATGCAGGGCATGTGTTAAAAATGAAGCAGTGAAGTCACACGTTTTTTGCTAATGTTGATTTATTTTCATTTCATAGCGAGAGAAAACAATTTCACTAAAAAATATAGAAGAGGTAGTACTCAGCCCTATTTTAAAAGGTGCCCTTGCTGGAGAAATGTTAAGAAGTGAGGTGGACTTCAAGCTACAAGTTCAAACGCTGTCTTTGTCTTAAATGAAGTACCTGCTTAAGTTTATACCTTACACTGGCAGTGTGCTGCTTGGTGATGATGCAGTTAACTGCCTAAATTAATTTGAATATCACAACTGTAAACACTGTCTGCACTTTTGTGAGACATTAATAATAATCTCAGGGATTTCCTGAAAGAACAGGCACATCTGTAATGAGATCATTTTCCCAAAGTTTGTTTTAATAGGTTGAGCTGTGAAACCATTATTACTTTAATAGAGGTACTGTAAGATTTCTAATACAAAAATAACTGAGTTTCAGGGCAAGAGTGTAATAATGGCCCTTATTTTTATCCATACAGTTTCTGAAACATAGGAAAAGATACTTTAAATATGCTAGTGAATGACTAATAATGAAAACTTGTAATTTCACTGAAAAATACAGCTTTATTATAATTTAGCTGCTAACGGGAGCATTATTTTCAGACCTGTTGTTCTTTGTACATTAAAGGCAAAGCTATCTCACAAACTCTTAAACCTGACACTTTTTACAGAAAGCATACAGATCTAACTCTGCATACAGAGACAGATACTTTAAATCTACAGACTGCAAATTTTTCAAAATGTGTAAGTTTCTAATGCAAAGTTCCTCCTAAAACTACTCCAGTACCTCCAATGATGTAACACTAGGAAACTGTAGATGAGCCACCTTTTCAACAGCTAGCATTAAACATGAAATGCAAATTAAATCCTCAACTTGAGAATTTAATAGAAATATACAGAATAATAAAATGGGAGGTTCAGAAACTCTTGATGATGAAGAAAAAACTTTAAACTCTTATTTTGATAAGTAACTTCATATCTAGTAAATACATTTGAGACAAAAATGACTGCGATTTCATTGGCAAGGTGACTTTTAAAGATCACTATTCCGAGTTTACACTCTCAGAACTACTTCACTGACTTCAAAGACCAGTACGGTTTTTGAAAATATTGTTTTAATGAGGTAGTCATTTGATATCATGAAGAACTGCAAGAGTGCGTTGAAATGCTTTTATTCTGATACTGATTCCCATATTAATTTCTGAATTGATCAAATCTATTTCCATAGGGAAAGAAATAACACTAAATGTTTGCTGTAGTGAACAAAATAACATGCCTTACATATATAAATGTGGTGTTCTTTAGTAATCAGGAATGCATCTTGAATACTATTGCCATATGTTCAAAAATGAAAAACTTTTCTTCCAAACAAGTGTAAAAAAATCAAAGGCATTAAAATCTACACATTTTGGTGTGCGCTAAATTCATCCTATAGAACAATCTCATCCCAGCACTCCTATTGGCTTGTTAAATATGCGACATATGAGATCTCTAATTGAATCAACTAATTATGAGCAGTAATTTAATACGTACATTCTACAGAAAAAAGTTGGACACAGAACTTATACAGATTATCTAAAGGCCCCACTAATATCAGTGTATTTTAGCAGGTTGGATACTACGGCAAAGGCCTGCTATTTGAATTCCTCTTAATACCAAGACATTTTATTAATGTACACAATATTCCATCAAGCCAGGAAACAAAACACATTTGGTCCCTGGATTTTATTGCATGGGAAACTGAATACAAATTCATTTTCATTCACAAAGTACAATTTCTAAGTTCACTATGATAAGGTCACAAAGTACTACAGCTGATTTATATAATTTTGTACACATAATTTTCTGAATGTATTAGCAACCCAGAGTACCTGAAGAGTTTCTTCACAATGGAGGGACAAACTTAGAAGTTTGTCTGTCCCATGTGTATGTTGTATATTTCTCAAAGTGGGAGGCATATGCAGTTATTTGAAAATGGCACCTGACAGATCTCAAAGTTGCTACTTGTTAAGTATGTTCCTCATTTCTCCAAATACGTAAATTGTGAAGGAAATTATGATCGATTTTGAACCAAGTGCACTAAGTACGAAATTCCCTACACTGTCCAATCCAACCTTCCCCAACTCAAAAGTAAGCATTAGAAACACCAGATTAGTCAAGCAGAGAACCTAGGAGACAGAAAGCAAATGCCAGTCACTACAATTAAAGAGGCCTTTCACTCAACACTTCATCGTTGGGTTTTTATAGTACTGTCTAACCAACTCACTAGGCCTTCAACTCTATAAAACTTCATTATCAAATAAAACGTCTCTGTAAAAAAAAGTTTTCAAGTGATGCTTGCAGATAAATAGGAAATGAACATTTAAATGATCTTAAAGTAATAGTAACCTACAGCTGAACTCTTAAAAACTAAGACTCATCAATTGACTCCTGCTGTAAGAAACTCAGTGAGATAAGCTCTCTGAGGTATTGTAACCCCATAAAGCATCTTCCTATGTGAACCATGACTCTTATGTCAGCACCAATGAGCTTTCCTGTGCGAAGTTTGCATACTTACCCAGGAGGGTAAATGGAAAGTACACAGCGAGGAAGATGAACTGCAGCAAAGCCTCTGTCATATGATAGTGACCTATAAAGTATCAAATAAAGGTACATCAGTATGGTAAGGCTTTAGGAGAGCAGAGTCCCAAGTCCTTAACAGCTATCAAGAAAGGCCACCAAAATGCGGGAGTCCAGCTCCCCACCAGCCCCTCCCCTCTTCATCTTGCCCCAAGCGAGAACCCGGCCTCAGGGGCAGCGAAGGGAAAGCGGCTGCCCCTGCTCAAAGGGCAGAGGACGAGGGGCAGCCTGGCCGGCATTCCAGGGTATCTCCAGCACCCTTACTTCTATTCCCTGTCTGTACAAGGCGGAAAGTTGATCTATTCTGCAAACGTAAAACCCACACCTCGCTCATTCACCAACTTGCATAAGCGATCACCGCCCCCCGGACGGATTGACCAGTAACCAAATCATAGCGATCCATGGGGAGCCCCAGCCCTTCCTCGCCCAGGAGCCCGGAGGAGGTGCCCCCGCGGAGGCGGTGGGTCCAGGTGTGGCAGCCGCAGCCATCTCCCCAAAGCCCGGCCCGGGTCACAACCCCGAGATTGGAGATCGGAACCGACCGGGAAAACATTCGCCAGAGCCCACGGCTACAGGCGCAGGGCCACCAGGTCTGCGAGGTCGGGGTGGGGGAGCTAAGGGACGGGGAGGAAGGAAGAGAGCGAGGGATCCCACCCTGGCTTTGTTGCTGGTCACCACCAACTTTGCATCTTAGTACAAAATGTCGATCTTAAGGGCTGACAAGACAGAGGCAGAGGGAGAAAGAGAAAGGCAATAGAGTCCATCTTGCTTTGGGGAAGAGGAGGCAGGGAAAGAATGAAGTGCAAACCCCACACTCCGGGCGTAAAAGTCAGCTCAACACCTCTCCACCACGGAGGAGCAACGAGTGGGGTGTCCCCGAGCCGGTGCCCGCCCGAACTGGCGGCGGTCTGGGCAGAAGACGCCTCCCTCTCCTCCTCTTCCTCCTCCTCCCCCTCCTCCTTCTCCCGTTCCTCCTCCTCGCGTTCCTTCTCCTCCTCCTCCTCC